CAGGTTAGTTTATCTTTGAGGTCGATTTTCTCAAAACGTGGTTCTTATACACCTAAACTTTAAATGCTCACATCTCTGGATTTACTTATAGTAGGGAAGCCATTCAAAGACCAACTGAAAGCTTATAATGTGATCTACCCAAATATAATATAAATTTTTGAATTTCTAACCATGAGACTCATTTTGTGGCAAGACCTCGCATATAACCTAAGCTGTTTTTAACAGAAGAATCACAGCCCATGCTTTTTTCTATGCTGATCTACTTTTTTAATAATTTACTTATGTTTTTCATTTTTTTTTTTAGTAGCATCGGGAAGCTCAAGTGGTGCAAGTCTTGCTGTAGAAAATGCTCAACTGCGATTGAATATTGAAAGACTGAAGACAAAATTGAATGAGCTAGAAGCTAGAAATGGATGTAAGATTTGTGACTAAGTACTTGTAACAGAAAGTGACCAACTAAAGTCTAATTTATACAGTAAAACACCTATTAAGGGGATACTTTCTAGAAAACCATAAAAGTGTCCCTTTGATAGGAGTGTCCCCTTAATAGGGGTTGGCCATAATTTTAAAAATTTCCCCTTAATTTGTAGCCGTAAAGTGGCCCTTAATTAGGGATTGTCCCCTTAACACTTGACCGCCAAACACGGAGATTTCCGTGTTTCAGGAATCCGATAGAAGAGGTAACTACCGACATGTACAAACAATTTACACTAATATATACACTATATTCAGTCTGGACTGTAAGTATTTCACTATTTGAATCTGATAAAAGAAGATTGAATTTGCATCGCAGCTAGCTCAGATGGCACGTCGTATGAGTGCCACTGATGCATTCGCTGAAATTTGTGTGAATTCTGGCAAAATTATATCATCAGATGATGTAAGGTGTAATGTGTTGAAATTTGCTAAAAAGTCTGGCGGTGGCCGATACTATTTTTTCAACCCCCTGGTGGCCAGAGTGTTAAAAGTGGCATCCCCTTAATTCTGAAAAAAAAAAAACAATTTAGGAATTTTTGTTTTCCTTGCAGTTGTACAGGTCAGTCTACCGAACGCAGAAGGTAAATCTTCAACACAAAATGTAACTCCAGTTGTTGCTAATGAGCCTGCTCCTCCGGTTACTCCAGTACAAAAGGCAGCAGAAAGTAAACCAAAGAAAGAAAAAAAAGGTAGGAGTGAATACTTCAAAACTCTGGTGCTTGTGTTGTAAAACGGTTCACCCGTATTTTTCTAATTTTAAACCTTCACTGGCTTCCAGTAGATGCGTATCATTTTGAAAATTATTCTTCTTACTCAAAATCCATCCATGGTCATGCTCCATGTTATCTTTGTTATCTTATTGACAAACATGTTCCTTTGTGTTCTACTCTTTCTTCGCAATCCCTTTAACTAACCACACCATGAGTCAAGAATATTCATACAGGTGAACACTACTGTAGTTGAACACACTTTTTCTGTTTCTGCTCTTAAACTCTGGAGCTCCCTGCCTCCAAAATAGTATCATCTGATCTGGAATTATTCAAATCCAACCTTATATCCTTCCTCATTAAGTAACTCAACTTCTTTTAACAGCTTTGAGAAATGTGATTTAATATTATAGTTTATATAGCGCCATATCCATCTAACATAAGATACTCAGGGCACTTGATATGTGGACTAGAAACTTGATCAATGACTTTCTTCACCCCTAAGGGTCCCTTCGTGTCTGTGCTACCCGGTAACCTGGTACCAGCAACTCTGCTCATCCACCACAGGGGTTTTCTGTTCTAGTACACTAGGGTATCTCCCTATTCATCTCAAAGGATGTACTGGGTTCTTTATAGTGCACACTAGCCATTGTATACACTGGAACTACAGTTTATAGTCCTTATCCGAGAAGACTTGTTCTACCACCAGAACCATAGGCGAGCGTGCCATTCAAACCAGCGCCGATATTATGGCTGTATCTTGCGGTGCCCCTGCTAACTGCTCGGCCATTTGACTCATTTATTATTATTATTGTTGTTATGAATATAGAAAAGAAAGGTGGTGGAAAACCTCCAGAAAAGAAAGACGATGTCCCTGTAACAATATCAGCGATGGATCTTCGCATTGGCAAGATAGTTGGCGTTAAAAAGCATCCTGATGCCGACTCGCTTTATGTTGAAGAGATCGATTGTGGTGAAGCAGAACCAAGAACCGTGGTCTCTGGACTTGTGAATCATGTACCTATTGGGGAGGTAAGGCACTAAAAAATCCTTTGTTTTTGCTTTATTTCCATATTTATTGAGTGTTTTCTAGAGTGAACAAAGCACTGAATAAAGAAGTAATTAAACAAGGAGCTGTGTCGGGGAGTCATCGCGATCCAGATGTCAATCACCTTGAAACTCACCTTATTGAAGTTCCCAGCCTGCATTTATGAATTCATATCCATTGATTATAATTTGCAGATGCAAGACCGTATTGTAATCATCTGCTGTAATTTGAAGCCAGCTAAAATGCGTGGAATCTTAAGCCAAGCAATGGTGATGTGCGCTAGTGGTGATACAGTAGAGTTACTCACTCCCCCTGCTGGTAGTGTCCCTGGCGACAGAATCAGTTTTGACGGTTTTCCATGTAAGTTTATTTTATGAAATATATATTCTTGTTTATTTATTTGTATGTCAAAAATAACTGATGTACAATGAAATTTGTTGTTGCAGCAAAAAAAGCTGAATTGAAAGCAGAGTTGTTAAAAGATATAGACTTAAAATATTCTGTACATTAGGAAAGGATAAAATAAGTAAATGTTGACATTGATTGATTGCCATTAGAAATTAAATTACAAATAGAAAACACATTAGAAATTTTGAATATTGATCAATATAAAAATGGATTTATACTGGATATTTCTAATAGAAAGTAGAATGCTGGGAGGTTCTGTAATTCATGTAAATGTTAGTGATTATTATTAATATATTGTTTTAACTTCTAGTTGTTCAAGTTCATATAAGGATTTACTGCTTTTGTTTATTATAAAAGTCCTAACACTAAAATCATATAATCACTTAAAATATTTTGATTTTGTTGTGATTTCATTATCTGTCTGCAAAAATGCATTAAAAAAATGAAAATAGAATTATATAAAGATATCAATATAAAAGGTAGGTAGTAGCAAAAGAAAAATGAATTTTCAATTTTGTTTTTGTTTATTGGTAATATAATGGCATGCCAATAGAGATTTGTTAATAATATAAACATATTTAATATTTAAAATTGCAATTCTTTTTTTTTTTTCAGTGGGTGACTTTCCCCCACAGATGAACCCAAAGAAGAAAATTCTAGAACAAATTTTGGCAGATTTGTTTACCGACGAAAATAAGGTAGCCACTTACAAAGGTGTCCCCTGGAAAGTTGAAGGGAAAGGCATTTGTACAGCACCAACCATGGCAAAGACAAAGATAAAATAGATAAATGCAGTAAATTGAAAAATATAAATAAAAAAGGGATATTATTCTGGTGTTAAAGTTAACCCTCACTTATTACTCAGAAAATACTGTGTACTACAAATAGAGTACTACAGTGTTATGTCACGATACCATGTGATACTACTCTGTTGCTATCATTGCAAAATGAGTTCAACTGGACGCCATTTTCTTCACTGACAAACCATTGATCCCAATTTCTAATGTAATAATGCTGTATCTTACTTTTTCTTTGTAAATTTTAATTGATGATTAAATGTGTGTTCGACAACTGATGTAATGCGAGCTTTTGTGTTTTTAGAACATTTTGCTGGTAAAATATTAGATTTTAAAATGCCTATTCCAGAAAGCCCATGAAGTCATTCAGGCGTATTGAACGGTAGCCGGCGTCTGTTGATAACAGAGTGCACCACCTGGCATTGTGACAACATGACTGTGGTACTCTATAAATACTCACTGTCCTTAATTTTGTTTATCAGTATGTAATACATCATTTATTGCTGATCTTTTAGGTAATATTGACTTTCCGGCTTAAATATTCAGTTTTTTTTTTGTTTGTTTTTTTTGAGAGATTCTTTTTAAAGATAGCTTTTTCATAGATTTAATTTAATTTAATTAGTATTTGATTGTGATTTCCACAGAATAAATTTTCAATTCAATTTAAAGTCTTACCCAGGCTATCAAATTTTAATTGACAAAAACATGTGACATGCCTAAATATGGTCATGACATCACATCATGACCATTTATAGGCATATCATGCCTATATATGGGCAACAGTTTTTAGCTAATCTGGACAGAGCATAAGGCCAAAACAAATATTGTTTGCAGAGACTTTCGTAAGTCTGGGATGGTTAGGAATCGTTACTGTCTACTGTATTTAGTGAATACTTAAAGAACACCGCTACGACAAAAATGTTGAAAATGTCCCAGCACTCATGCTATGCATTTTGGTTTTTTAAATAGTAAACCAAGTCCATATTTAAGATACAGTATCAGTGTTTTGTTTTGGTTTGGTTTAATTATATAGGCCTTTTGGTTTTGGCAACACAAACTTATCAATTTTTCAATATTTTCATTCTGTCTCAATAAACCAGTCTTATTTTGAGGCTAAAGCTGGTAATATTCTTTTATTTAGTAATATTTCTGCCTGAATAAACAATCTGTAATGGGTGAAGTACAGGATATTAAAACAGCTGTGGAAATTAATCATTTGAATTGAAAGTGAGGCTAGAAATAGCGTGCATCTGCGACCTTTGGCCAGAGGCAATTTTTGAAAAAAAACTTGCTCCAGACCTCGTCAGTTGGGCAATATACAGGCTGCATTTGGTGATGGAGGCATTTTATCAGGATACGTTTCCTGGTGGGAAGCACAAATATTGTTTATCCCAGCTTTACTGCATAGATGCTTGGGCTTTCTAAGTGTTATACCCAACAGTATTTAGAGTAGACTCCATTGTGATCGATTGCAATGTAATTCGCGGTAATCCAAAACTAATTACTCACGATCGCAACCAAGCAAGCATTCAGACCAAAAGACACAAAAAAACTTTATATTGGAACATGATTTCAAACGGATGCCTTGATAATCACTAATAAAGATTGTAGCACCTGATCGCAACAGGTAAGAATTGCGACTACTATTGGTGAGGTTTCAATACGATTGCGTGAGTTTTGATGTTGCAATTGCTAAAACATCCCCGCCCTCCCCTGCCGCCATTGTGTATTTTTGACAATTTATATTCAAAATGGGAAAAAAAAGAAAATACAATAAAGTTATTGGAGAGTGCCATGTTCAGCCATCTGGAAGTACCATATCCATAAAAATGTGTAGCTCTGTCAAACCATGATGAGGCTGTGGGGCTCTGAGCTCTGCATATCAGTAACATTAACAGTTCCTCTCTATTACAAATTTGTGGATAAATTCAGTTCAGTTTCTGTTATTGTAACAAGTACCATCTTGTGGCAATATCCACAGAAACAAAGCAGTCAAACTCAATAGTAAGTATAGTATGCATCATGAGGTAGGGATGTCACTCCATTTAGGTCAAATGACCCACTTTAACTAAACTCTGCATTGCAGGGTAGGGACGTTACTCCACTAAGGACCCGCATACCCCAACCCTTAATGCATTATGGATTTTCCAGCAATATACATTCTATCCCCTCATTGTTTACCAGTCAGGGGTGGATCCTCCCCCCCCCCCCTACAGTTTTGGTACAGCAAAAAATTAGATTTTACCATACACCAATGTCTTAAACAGGGGTGGCACCAGGATTTGCCCGACAAGGGGCAGATTTCTCCGAAGAAAGCAAAGTGGCCATGGTCGAGCGTCGCTTAAAATGTTGCGAAAGTGGTCCAGAGCCCCCAAAAGTTTGGACAAATTAGGGGTTTCAAAGGCTTATTTAATTTTAAGACAATATCACATTTATTTGTATCATTTGATAATGTTTTATTGCACATCACAATGTAACAAAATAACAGAATACATTTTTACATGCTTGTCACATGACCTCCCTCCATTTACATGCCAGTCTCTTGCAACCGTTACCTTCTTCAAACTAAAAACCCCTACAATGGGCCACTTTAAACACATCTATAAACATAGTATCAAACATTTGTAGCTGGCAATACTACACGTTTTCATGTCACTTTATAAAGTACAGTAACCTTTTGTTTTTTCTTGAGGAAGGGCTAACATCATTTTGTTCATGTAAGATGCAAGATAATTCCTTTAAGACATGAGTTACAGCTCTAAACCAAAATATACCATGACAACATAAATTGTACTATACTGACCAATTACTGATTGGATAGTAAAAGCAATAGGAAAAGAGTAAAGGGAAAAAGATACACCAAAATCAAACATAACATATTTCGCAGAGAAAGAAAACAAACAAAAGCATTGATATCCTGCATAGAGACAATTTTGAATGGCTAAATATGGTCATGATGACATCACATCACGACTATATCTAGGCACATGACTAAATATGTGAGGATAATACACCAGTTTTTTGTCAAATAAAATTTGATAGTTTGGACAGGGTTTTACTCATTAAACTAATAGCTTTTCTAAACACATTGTTTCATTTAACAATGACCAATACCGTATCATACGTCAATCAAAAACTGCATTTTTGCATCATACTTCAATCATCCCTTCTACAAATCAGTACACTATATCTATGCAGCTGCAATTTTACCACATTTGCCAGCTCTTATATGAAAGTAAACATCCTGAATTGTTTACATTGTAATTGGATGGATGTGATCATTTTCACCTATGAGGATGTTCTGAAACAACTGTGAAAGGTAGTCATTTTACAATAGACCTTTCCTCAAAGCCACGCCCCTTAGTTACTGTTGCTAAGGTCCTACAAGATGACAGTGTAACATACATAAACCTGTATATTTTGTGAGACATGCTAGTATTATTCGCCCTAGCAATAACACATTGGGCTTATTCGACTGGTTCATGTCGAGTATTTACCAGTTTTCTATTCGACTGGTCTTCATTAAGTAGGATTTTACCACTGCACAAGTGGGCGTGGTTTAACGAAGAACGACCAGTCGAATACTGCCATTCTTTCAATTAAGATTGACATCCTGGAAAGGTCAATTGCCTACGCATCTGATTAATTTTTTTCATTTGGTTTACTATACATGGGTTATACAAAAAATGAACTATATTGAAAAAATATGAAGTTTGTTAAAATATTCAACAATTTTTTGGGCCTTATACATCTGCTAGAATTAAAGAAAACAATACATCGTGTAAACAATCAAAACATGGAAAGAATTATTTAACTAAACCAATAATTAATAATGACAATATTATAAAAATGTTAACATTTCTTTAAACAAAAGTTTCTGATTTTCAAAATCGCATAATTTCTCTTCTTCCAATAAGCACCATTTTGTTTATTTTATGAAGAAAAATCAGATAATAAAATATAGCCTATATTCTTGAATCAATATACCTCAAGAAGAAGGTAATAACAATATTAATCAAATCTCAATATAGTAGTTATTGGCCAAGTTCACACACAGCACGATCCGGGTTACAATCACATACAAGAAAATCCCCGATCCAGATAGCAAGATGATGATCGAATCACTGGCCAATAGGAAACTGTAAATTGGAAATGTGTACGTGTGATTGGTTGGTGTGATATAAATGTGCTCAACTTGCTAACCGTTAGTGTATCCAGATCCTGGTAAAGGTCACACGGGTGCTAATGGTTAGCTCCCAATCCAGATCTAGGGCTCTGGTATGAACATGACCAATATTGTAACAAAACATTATTAGTTCTTACTTTTAAACCAATACTAATCATTTTCTATGAATTAATGAATCAATTGATCAGTTAATAAATATACCAATGAACAGATATTATTAATGGTAAGCAGCATAAAATCACGGATTAAAAAGTGCTTTATATAAAGACATCTTAATCAACTACACGACTGGGGCCTTGTGAAGTGAAGTCTAATTTAAAGCAATTGTCTTGACAATAAATTGATCAGAATTTAGTTAAAATGAGGCAACATAAATTTTTGTATTAATTACAACTGCCTAACTTACAGATGATGTTATAAATTTAACAGAATTACCAGTTGCAATCGGAAGTGTTAGAAAAAATAATAGATTTATTAATTATGTAAGCTGTTTTTTTTTTGTTTTTAATACTTTAGTACATTCATATTTATATCACTCATGCAATGTCAGCTAGAAAAATATATACTTTCTTAAGACAAAAAAAGGTATTAAACATGAAGAATATTCATATTTTAAACTAAGTCATACATATAAGTAGATTTACTAAATATACTGGAGCCTGCCCACTAGTGATGAGTGGCTGTAAAGTGGTGGTAGCTAACCTATTTTAGATGCATTAGTTCTGCAGCAATTATCAGATAAAAATTCCAAGTGGCGGAGTCCAAACAAATGGATATCACTCCAATAACTATTTTAAAAAGAAATTATCGGATAATTTGGGGATTGCAATGCCATGCCAAAATCAGCACCGGTAACCAAAACAGTGGTACCGCCAGGGGAATTTTGAAGCATTTAAAGGAAAATTGTTAATAGGATGCTTTGAAGGGTAATTATTCAATTTCTGAAGAAACAAACATAAAGTGTAGTATACAAACATCCGTCTGAAGTAAAGTTACCACAAACGTAAAATTTTACATGCGTGTTACATCCAACGAGTGTCCACACAATGTTTACCCAGGACAACTATTTAAAAGCTTGTTTAAAGCTTAGAAGTAACTATGGAAATTTTCCGGAAGTGATAGCCACCAATTCGGTGTCGGTTAAAGGTTATTTTTGTGTCTACAAAGTCTAACACATCACAGGCAGTGTTATTTTGGCACTCATTTGTAGGTACTGTATGTATCTTTTGAAAGAATTTGAGGCCAAAATGAAGGTCGCATTTACTTGCGAGCTCAGAAGTAAGTGCGTCTACACAGTACTACTGTGAGTGCATATTCCATATCTTCCTTGAAGCACGCTTACTCCTGAGACTGCTCAGGAGTAAAGTTAATAAAAAGAGCGTCTTCATGGGCACTACCAAGGGCTTACGACAAGTAAATAGCTACTGCAAAGCTTACTTCTGACTCACCTCAATGTGCCTAATAGTGTATAGTAAACTCTAGAAAATGTAGTTGTATACAACTTATTGATTCCCCGAAGGCCCAATGTTAAATGTTTATTATCAAATAGTATGCAGGAATGTACCTCAAAACTACATTCATCGAAAATATACATTCATCGAAAATATAGAAAGTATAAAGTAAATAACAGCAGCACTTTTGAGACTAACAATATATAATTTATTCTCTAGCTTTCGTCCA